CTGTGAAGGTCGGCAAGCCATGCCAGCTCTCCAACTTTGTTCCTCAGGCTCCTAATGTTCAGCAGTAAAATTCGAATTGTTGGAGTTTGCGTTTGCATATTCAGTTCATGAGCAGCAGGGTCGTTGCCTAATCTTCTTCCAGTCATTGCACAGATATATTATCCACATCCTGACTTAGAGATGCAAATGCGTTGCCAACAGTGACACTAAACTTCGCAGCTTGCGTCTCGGGCGGCGAGTCACGCTGATAGCCCCGTGATTTCTGGCCTGGAGTCCGGGCCGGTGCTCCACAGGTGTCATCTAGGATATCGCAATCCATGCCGTGTCCGCTCTTACTGTCGTCCGTTCGGCTGCTGCTGCTGTTGGTGGTCGTGGTGCTGCTCTGCGCTGTTTGTTGATCTCCACTGGCATCAGACTGGGTGTACTTATCGAAGTTCCACTCTCTTGTGTACACAGGCCTTGGCCAGAAGCGCTTGTTGCTGAGAAACGATTCGTCCGCTGCACTGGCAACAATACGCGCAGTGGAGGATTTTTCTTTTTGAAATATTTTTACGTCAAACACTTGGACATTGTGGTCAGCCTCAGCTGCTCTTGCTGCGATGAACTCCTTCAGCTGGTCTGCAGTAATTGCATGCATCAGATTTCCGACAAACAGGACTCTCTTCTTCGCTGTGGGTTTGGTGGAGGTGATGAGTCGCCATGTGGCGTCCGAATCCTCACTCATCTCTTCAAATTTCGGCAAGCGATCCACACGTGGCGGGGTCAACTCCGAGCTGGGTCCGGGTGTACCATGTGTACGGGAGTTGGACGGCTTGTTGTTTGAGCTGTCAACGTCGGATCTGACACTGCTAGTCAGGTCCATCTCGGGATCAATGGGTCGTGAACTCTCTACGGGTACGGCGGACTGTGAACGACTTTCTGTGCCTGTACTACGTTTCTTTCGATTTCGGCGCTGCCTCTGGCTGGTTGTTTCTTGCTCTCTCTCTTGGTCTGCAATGGCGGAGGAGTTTGATTTACAAGACGCACACGTAACATTGCCGATGTCCAAATTTTGGCAAAGGCGAGTGTCGGCCAGGTCCTCTCTCAGCTGGGAAAGTTCGGAGCTCAATTCACTAATCCTTCGTTGATATCGTTTCTCCTGGTCCTGAAGTTGGCTTTCAAGACGAGCTAGAGTTCTCAGCACTTCTACAACATTGTGTTCGATGCCAGGCAATGAGCGAAGCTGTGTATGGACCTGTTCGGCGCTCACCAGCTGCTCAGTGTGATCTGGGCTAGCCATCCCACCCAGGCTGTTGGGGCTAGTCCCCAAAAGCTACCTAAAAACTACGGAAAAACGGGAGCCTCAATACACGCAACCTACTACACCCCTTACACACAAGAAGCTTAGGTTACGACTCCCTTGATAACATGTCCAGTCCACTACAATCAGTGACGGTCATAGCTAGGTCGGACGGTCCGTTGACCCCGTTGAACTTTTGCTACTACAGTACAATGCCCTCTACAAAAAAATTCCCCTGCTATTTTGCACAGAACCATCATAATAACATTAGCAGCATATGTGAGCATAATGCAGCATAGTTATGATAACGTTTAGCATAAAAATAGCATAATTCTGCAATTTTTTCAGCAATGCGAAAAGCATAATTATACGAAAATATTATGATAATCTGTCAAGGCCTAACAGCCACTTTAAATAGAGCTAATCATGGTATATTGTCGTTAGGATCTTCTCAAGTTGTACATTGCCCTGTTTTTGGGGCTATGTGAGGTACCGAATTCAAATAAATCAATACAAGACAATAAAGCAAAAGCAAAAGCATAGATCGAAAACCTAAAAAAATGTCAAAATACAGCAACTTATAGAGCTAAAGCAAAAGCAATATAGATCGAAAACCTCATCATCGCGGCTATGCATGTGGAATAAAAATAAAATTCAGCTGAACAGGTCAAAAACAGGTTGAAGGTGACGATGGGTGGCTGGCCCGAAACGTCAATAATATTTCAACATCATTTTAATAAAGAATTTTCATCTAAAGAGTGAATAGCAACTAAATAGAGCGGTTGTCAGTTGACAACTCCCTTTTATTTTGAAAGTGAAGAGATGACTAAAACATAATGAAAACATCAATGAGGAGCAGGAGGAGGCTTCACCCTGTTTTGACCTGTTCAGCTGAATTTTATTTTTTATTCCACGCGTATAGCGTGGGGTTTTCGATCTATGCTTTTGCTTTAGCTCTATAATATATAGTTGCTGTATTTTGATATTTTCCATTATTCCCTGTACTTACCCATGATGAGAAGGGAACGAAAATGTTCAGTTACTAAACTGGCTTTCCTTGACTGTGTGGATTGCGTCGGTGCTGACATTTTTTTCGAAATCAGATAGTTTTTCTTTTTTGATTTTCATTGTAAACGAAATTCAGGTGTTGTGAAAATGAAGTTGATCAAACTTTAAAACACTCAAGTAGGCGGTTTTTAAAAAAACTTATCCCTGTTTGCGCAACCGTGCCTCTATCGGCATCCTTTAAAAACCCTTTCGGTCATGGCCCATTTTCAAGGTGGTAGAACACAAGACACTCGCTGGCTATTTACTTCTCATCTTAAACTATCACAATAATTTTCTGCTCAAAGAGCACAACATGTGCATTTCAGATTCAGCCCAGGCGAATGTTTTGCACAAGACTCCTCCTACTGTCCCTGTAATAGAATGTGGGTACATGTATGTGTGTGCGTTTTATAGCTGTAGGAGTGGGCCACAAAGATCTACCCATGCTCTGCGTGGGGCGTGTTCGGAATTTGCACCCATCGTGAAGTGAGTCACCCCAAAGGTGGTCCAAGTTCCAACGCAAAAACACTACTTTAGATTGCAAAGTACCCGAGATAATGTGACTCCACTCTTGGCGCCTGGGACTGTTCCAATGTGCTGGGTTAAATGCCCACACATCAAGTGAAACTACCCTGAGACGCAGCTTCTGGGCATGTGATATATTTGTTTGCGGATGCGTTCGCCTGGAGGATGCCCAGCCCAGGCCTATGCAGGTACCTACCACAGATGTAGTGGGGTGCGCTAGCCTCCACTCAACTCTAATACCGATTTTGAAAATGCAAATTGTTTCTTTTACCTTCAGGGGTAAGAACAGATGGCTATGATATCCCTTTCAGCTGCTCCATGAAGAATGTAATGTTCTTCAAAGTGGCATTTCAGATACAGGTACCTGAAAGGGGATACCTGCCATATTTGTTTGACAGCCTTTCAACATAGGCGTTCTCAATCAGATCTCTCTCATTAAATCAGCCAATGAAAATGTAAATTTTCCAACTCCAAAGAAGTGCCAAATCAGTGGTGATTAAAGAACAGTGGCGAATGGTAATGGCCAATGTGGACGCTGGTCTGCGGCTTGCATTGATCAGGAAACCACTTTCCAATGTGTGTAGAGCCAATCATTAATATCTAAACTTATCCTGGTTCAGAGCAGCCCACCTGGGGACATTCAGCATGGTGTGGGCTGCGAATGGGATATGCTTTTGTACGTGCATCGTCCCTGGTTGGAGCCCTGGTGGCGGCAGTCAATTGTTCATGTAGACTCTTCCCGTTTCAACTCCCTCAAACTTACGACCATTTTCATCATATTCTGGAATCCCAGGAGATCAGATAGGCCTATCGAGGGGTCGCAAAAAAGCTATTGGCGAGCTTGGAGGTAGCCAATAGCAAATGCTCATGACACATGACATCCGGGTTTGGGGAATGTGACACACCACGGAGGGAAGCAACAGGCTCAGTTTGCCACACGTAACGGTCCTACTATCATCTTCGGCGATTTTTTCTATTCTATATACTTACCATACTCCCGTGCTACAGTTCTCAGCGTGAGTATATGGCACAATGGTGAGATGCTCTGCTACCTTTCGAATCTACTCCTACATCTAACTTGAACTGACATGATGTATCTTTGAGTAGTCTGAAACTCGGATGCCAGTTGAGTCAATAATAAATGTAGAAAGGAAGGACAGTTACTCTTTTAAAACTCGTATTCACCCTTCATTTCACATTCATTTGTCATTGGCAGTCGTTTGACGAGCCAGGAAATGTTGAATAAATACGAACAAAATCCATAATTATGTCCTTTTCCTTTGAGTAGTCCATTTCCCATCAGCATAGAACCTTTTAATCCCGATGTTTCTTACTTCAAAGTACATATTCTCTTTTCAACACCATTTACATCCGATTCATTCGTTGATATCATCATCCTTTGGTCCGTCCATCCAAGGTATAGTAACAACGGGTTCTTCTTTTGACCAGACGGGACCGTGCGACGCTTGAAGACACGTACCAGCACGACCAGTTCACCAGCTCATCAACAACCCTCCACGACAGCAAGTACACGTGTATTTACTCATGCCAAGCTTGTTTCGTTTCATAAAAGATCACGGGAACTCATCAGAGAAGAAGCAGTTGTCGAATGATAAAGTTGAACGAAAGAATGATAGTTTATAACTCTATACACGATTACATGTGTAGTGGCGCAAGGTGTGAAATTTCAACTAGCTGACACATAATGACAACTAACAAAAACGAACTGGTGTAGAATGGAGGTGTTATGAACCCTACCCGACACAACTATCAGAAGTGCCAAGTCAATCACGAGGAGGAAGAATGGGAGAAATGGGTTGCGCTACTCAGTACACATCAACACGAATACCGGTGTGGTGACAACTGCTTCTCCTCTGATGAGATCTCTTCATCTTTTATTCAGGAACGAAACAAGCTTGTCAGGAGCAACTGCTTCCTGGCGTGGAGTGTTGCTGATGAACTGGCGGACTGTTCGTGCTAGTGTCTGCAAGCGTCTTATTGCGTAGTTTGGGACAACAAACCTCGTATTCACCCGGGATTGTTTTAAGCATCTACAATCGACACCGATTTTCGTCAGTGCAACATTAAACCGTATCAAACAACGCACAAAACTTTGGAAGAGCGAGCGTTATCAGCTAGAGTGACTTACCTCTTGCAGAACCACCATCTCTGTCGCCAATTTGTCGTTTCTCTGCACAAGAAACAGCAAGGGGAGAGAGGACACCATGAAGTTGAAAGTCGCTATTACATGGTGCAGGAACATGCCATATGTACTGGAACAGGTAATTTCATTCGCAGCATCAGTTTCCTTTGGAAAAGGATTCGGTTTTGAGAACTGGCAACGTGAAGCAAGTATGGAGAGCTGATCAATCTGAACATAGGAACGTTTTCTTGAAGTACACCATGATTATGCCGATCACCTTCGCGATGTATCAATCTGGTACTGAAGTTAGTTCAGTACCTGTGCACTAAATGCTCATCGCAAGGGACTATCGCTCCGCAAAGGTATGCTACTGATAGTCTCGGGCTGTGAGCCGCATTTACCACAACAAATCGGCGTCCTCCGGCCTGAGCACAGTACCATGGTACGTATTGTACATGTATTTGTCGCTGCTAAACCTTATACAGAAGCGCACATGGTCAAGTGCGAGGAGTGGTACAGAGAGACTCAGAGGGAGAAAGGGAAGCAGAGAGAGAGCGAGTGAAAGTGAGAGTGAGTGGGAGAGAGACAGAGAGAGGGAGAGAGAGAGAGAAAGAGAGAGAGAGACAGACAGACAGAGAGAGACAGAGAGAGAGAGACAGAGACAGAGAGACAGAGAGAGGGAGAGAGAGAGAGAGAGAGAGTGAGTGAGAGAGGTGAGTAAGTGAGTAAGTGAGAGGGGGATAGGGAGAGAGAGAGAGAGGAAGAGAGGGAGGGAGTGAGATAGAGAGAGAGAAGTGATGCGAGATAAGAAATATTAAGGTGGATCTTGGAGTGTGACCGCGTCAGATTTAGTAATAAATAGGGGTGAGTGAAGACGAGGGGTGCTATGATACACGTACAAGGCTGCGGAGCGAACGGATAGCTTTGAGTTGCAACAACCTCCATTTCATTTCTGGTATCCAGGCACGTTTCTGCCAGCTGCACTGCAATTCCTCATTGGGATGTCAATCACAGGACGAGAGGTATTAGAGCGCGGGCCAAGAATAGCAGGCCTATTTTATTGCATACAACAACACTTCTCACAAATCCTCCCTTTTCCATACACCTCCCATCTTCACGTGAATTACAGAAGGAAATCAGATACTGGTATCACGTATTTCAAGTTCAGATGACTAATATACATTGGGTAGTAGGGACTGAACATTTTTCAGGGCCTTTTGATGTACTCAGTGAGCATGTAGTACAAGTAAGTTCTCGCTTTGGTTCAGGAAGGAAGCCATGCACTAAAGTGTCGGATGATGGATGTGACATGGGCTGGGCCTAGCTGGAAGGTGTATGAATACATGTTTAACCCTTACTTTTGGCCTTAGGCCAGGGCACGGCTACCAGTACCCAACGATTGAAGTATTCACATAAGTTAAGCCGCACCGTGTGTGTTGGACATTGTCTGAGCCAATGCCTACAGGAGGTAACAGGTATCACAGAATACGAAATGCTGGCTAGTCGCTTGATCCTCACTTAGGCCAGTGAGGGTTCTGCTCGTTCTTGTCGCCAGCGATTCGATGTGATCACGGAGGCACCCTGTATTTCATCACTGGCGCACGTTCGTTAGTTTTAAAACAGGCATGTGTAACATTGGGTTCACCAAAGGCGCAGAACGTGCGTGCTTTACGACACGGCAATTCTACCATACTCCTACCACTCCGAGCACATAAGAATCATACCGGCGTTTGTCCTGTTTGACTTTCTTCATAGCCTGTGGAGACGCTGGCGCTGAGACCACTTTCGGAAAGATGTCGCCTACAGTCATTCTTCACTTTCCTCTGGGTAAATCTAGCTGTATTCAGAACTGGCCGCGAATCCGCGACAAGAATGAACTCGCTGCACCATGATGGAGCTTCAAGAACTTTCGTGCACTGTGACCATTAGCGCATTGTGCCTAAAGAAAGCAGGATCAGGCGTGCCCGTCCTTACAGTCCATCCATAAAAAGATCAGCTCTGGCTGCTCTGGCGAGCGAGTTGTAGATTACTAATAAATAATTTTAGAACCCAGCAGTCTACGCTTCGACAGCAAAGTGGTCACTGATAACGTTCGCCCGACAAAAAACTCACATCGGACGTACATGTCCATAAACGGTTGTTTGCGCAACGCTATGCCTACCCGTATCCATTCTCAGTGAGCTAACGATACGTAGACACTCTTGGATGCCTAATGCTCTTATAGACAGGTACAATAATAATATACTTCCTGCACATGTACCTATATCTGCCAGGTTTATTGTGAAACTAGGTCACTGCAGATACCGCACAACTACATTTGTCACATTTATTCCAACAAAAAAGAGCCTAGACGGAGGAAAAGTCTTTCATTATCCATGCTGCAACACCCGTTTGATTGTGCGAATCCGAAACTGACATGATTATACCATGGCAAACCAAACATTAGCCCTTCTTACGTCTTTCTACTAAACAGTTACTTGGGCAACAGTAGAGTCTACCCCCTGGGTAGCACTGCGTCCAACACAAGTCACATCGCGACTCACATCCCCTTCTTTTATCTGACGTAATTATGTTCGGCGGGTGATGAGGGCGCTGGGTGTTAGGCGTTAGGGATACTGGCAGTCATGTATACCGGTATTGCACAATGTCACGTATTCTGATGCTAGGGATAGTGCGGTGACAGGTTCACCGTGTGCATGTTCGCGCCCTTGGTAAAGACTTCCAAAGGAGGACACCTCCGCACGAACGTAACGTAATACCGTCTTTGTGACAGAGGACTTCCTGGATCAATCATGGTCCGTTACAGTGGGTGGCCACTGGGACCATTGCTGGTAAAGTGTGTATCTTGCTGTGTAATTATTATTTGCTCCAGTAAACACTTGTTTGTTTCCAGAACGAGCGTAACACGACGCGCCCTAAGGCAACGCGAAGCCCACAATAGACAACGCGCTTATCATTCCCACAGCAGAGCTTTCCCGATGACGACACGCATTTACTCTGCCGTGTAGGGGCAATATCAGCTACCTGAATATCTGGCTGGAAATAGATGATTTTCAAGAGATCAATGAAATGATGCGTTAGGAGGATGCATGCCATACGCAATGATTAGGAAACAGTTGTTGCGTTCCTGATACAGCGTTGCAGGGAAGCTAGAGAGACTGCTGGCATTGTGTGCGTGTGTTTGCGTGTGTTTGTGTGTGTGTACGTGTGTGTGTGCGTGCGTGTATGTGTATGTGTACTTTAGTCTACGATTCGCGGGCACGCGGGGATACAAGTTTCTGGTACTTTTGCTGTTGTTGATTTTTATTTTACTTCGCAAGGCCAAACGGGCAATGGCAATGGTGCCCAATTCTATGGAAGCGAATTTCAAAGGGGAGAGAGCTACGGGGAGAGAGTTACGGGGAGAGAGAGAGAGAGAGAGAGAGAGAGAGATAGAGAGAGAGAGAGAGAGAGAGAGAGAGAGAGAGAGAGAGAGAGAGAGAGAGAGAGAGAGAGAGAGAGAGAGAGAGAGACAGAGAGAGAGAGAGACAGAGGCAGAGAGAGAGAGAGGGAGAGAGAGAGAGATAAATAGATAGATAGAGGGAGAAAGAGAGAGAAAGGGGGAGAGAGATTGCGAGACACAGAGAGCGAAGCAGTGAGGTTAGGGGCATCGGAGGGTGGTGAGCGCATCAACGTGTGGTTGGGGGTGGCAGCGAAGAACAGATCGCTATGTATTTTAGTGTGATAAGCGATTTTGCAACGTCAACAGAGCGAATTTGAAGCGTCAACAGAGGGAACACAAAGAGTTCATAGGTGCACAAGCACGCAGAGAGGAGTAAATGACGTGGTGTGTGGACGGGAAAAGTCAGACAGAGCATTCATTGCAAGGTGTAGGGGATGGAGGCAAGCTTAAATTGCTGGGCAGCCTTGATCTCCCTTACACTCTTTGGGAGTGCATTCCAGGCCAAGGTTGCCTGAAAGTCCAGGCGAGATCTGCCGGCTGCTGATTGTGCCGAGGGGACAGTGATGCCCATGGAAACCGGCCGCAGGGTGGTGCTACCAGCTGATGGTGAGAATAGGTCCTGGAGGACACTGCTGGCTTTCCCATTGACACAGCGCCACACCAGGACGAGCCGCTTCTGAGCGTAGCACTCGCGAACTCTGCACAGGGACATCCGTTCGAGCAGAGGCTGGGCAGAGGTGTGAGGCGGCAAACCGTATACCGCTCTCGCCGCTCGGTTCTGCAGGACCTGAAGGCGATCAAGCTGCGAAACCTTGAGGGAGGAAGAGAAGGCGTTAGACCCGTATAGGAGGTCAGGCATGATGACTTACCTCACATACTGGATGCGACTACTGAGGCTCAGACATCTGCGGGACCGCCACAGTGCTCCAATCTTCTGCACAACTTTCTTCGCCATCGCGTCAACATGGGGGTCCTACTTCACAGCGGCATCAAGGGTCACGCCGAGGTACCTTGCTGTTGGGCTGAGGGGAAGCTCTGTCTGGTTGCAGCGGACAGCGACATGCTTACACGCATTGCGTTGTGGTACAATTGACAGGACCTGGCTTCGAAGTTTTCTTTCTGCTCTGTTCAATTTGCTTCTCGCATATTCTGATCGATGGATGAGCGGTGCATTTGAGGTGTCCTGGCCAATTACAGCAACGAAATGACCATTGGCCAGGGTCATGGCGTTCTCCCTAGTATGTCCCGGGCGAACAGCGCCGCTATCCATACGCAGAACCTGACTCTACATGCCCCCCTTGACCAGGCACCTGTGCGATCCTCGTTCGGCTACTGAGTAAAGGGCATGCTTCCTATCAACCACACTATGATGCTAAGTACTGGTGTACTGTACTGCAGCTGCCTGCTTGCCACATTCCCAGTGTAACTAAATACTTGTGTATTGATAATATCGGTAGAGAAATTTGCCCAAACGGGATAGGAGTGAGTAGGAGTACGGGCGGTATTTCGCGAAACACACTGAACATCAAGATTGTGTTCTAATCTAAACCGTTATATGCATCCGTGAAAAACCAATCAGAACCCTGACGCTGAAATTCGGGTTATG